ATTGTTATATTTGTCAAGAAAGTTACCATTTCCCACTGTCTGTCAAGATCTCGTCTGAGCTTGTAAAACAGATCTTCTTAATGCCTGGGCGCTTTAACCACTTGACACAGGGAACAAAAGCTTTCGATTACAAAGCAGTTTACAGAGATTATAATGGAATGAACTACGACCACACTCCTTTCCCCCTACCACATAGGCGCACGGCACACTTTTTCAACAATCAATTGAAGGTAACAGTTGAGTTCAAATGGGAAGTGTTAAGATCAGAATGTCAGTCCTGCTGGCAGAGATAATGTCCTGCAGCAAATGACCCTGGAGATGGAGTTGCCAGAACTTCAGCATGCAGCTAAAATGACAGAAATGATTTCTTGGAAATAGGAGGCAATTTTCCTTCCTTCCCAAGTCTTACATACCATGAACACTCGATACAGGGAAAGAGATACACCCTAGAGTTATTTTGGCCCAGTGCATCTCAATCTTTTTAAACAAGAGCCATGGCCTTTTGGCAGAACCTAATACAGTGGTACCTCTGGTTACGAACTTAATTTGTTCCAGAGGTCCATTATTAACCTGAAACAGTTCTTAACCTGAGGTACCACTTTAGCTAATGGGGCCTCCCACTGCCACCAGCGCGCAATTTCTGTTCTCATCCTGAGTTAATGTTCTTAACCTGAGGTACTACTTCCGTGTTAGCGGAGTCTGGAACCCGAAGTGTTTGTAACCCAAGGTACCACTGTACCTGCTGGGACCTACTGTTGAAGGATGGGTAATTTGTTGTTGTTTAGTCGTTTAGTTGTGTCCGACTCTTCGTGACCTCCTGGACCAGAGCACGCCAGGCACTTCTGTCTTCCACTACCTCCCACAGTTTGGTCAAACTCATGCTGGTAGCTTCAAGAACACTATCCAACCATCTTGTCCTCTCTCGTCCCCTTCTCCTTGTGCCCTCCATCTTTCCCAACATGAGGGTCTTTTCCAGGGAGTCTTCTCTTCTCATGAGGTGGCCAAAGTACTGGAGCCTCAGCTTCACGATCTGTCCTTCCGGTGAGCACTCCTGTGAGGGCTGATTTCCTTCAGAATGGATAGGTTTGATCTTCTTGCAGTCCATGGGACTCTCAAGAGTCTCCTCCAGCACCATAATTCAAAAGCATCAATTCTTTGGCCATCAGCCTTCTTTATGGTCCAGCTCTCACTTCCATACATCACTACTGGGAAAACCATAGCTTTTACTATACGGACCTTTGTTGGCAAGGTGATGTCTCTACTTTTTAAGATGCTGTCTAGGTTTGTCATTGCTTTTCTCCCAAGAAGCAGGCGTCTTTTAATTTTGTGGCTGCTGTCACCATCTGCAGTGATCATGGAGCCCAAGAATGGGTAATAAATAAAATAAATAAAATAAAGGATGGGTAATAAATGTAATAATATTGGCACCGTTGAGGTACCTGTTGCTGCCTCATTGAAAGGCGACACTGCAGGGGCCCTTGAACCAGTTCCTCCTCTTTGCTGTCACTTCCTGTTTACTTTCTTGGGTGGCTACTTACACATCACCAAAAAGGGAGGGAATGCATCATCGTAAGACAGGGACACAAATTTATGGAGAAAATGCTTGTGCTAATGTGTGTTTGCATGTAAATTAAGAAATAACAGGCTGTATCCAGGCAGAGGGCCTTCTCGGTTGTGGCGCCCACCCTATGGAACACCCTCCCATCAAAGAAATAAAAACTATCTGACTTTTAGAAGACATCTGAAGACAGCCCTGCTTGAGGAAGTTTTTAATGTTTGATGTTTTATTGTGTTTTTAATATTCTGTTGGGAGCCACCCAGTATGGCTGGGGAAACCCAGCCAGATGGGCGGGGTATAAATAATAAAAATTATTATTATTATTATTATTATTATTATTATTATTATTATTATTAGTCTGCTCGCATTAAAGCTCACCTGTCTGCTGGCACAAAGACTTTTATGCCAGCAGACAGGTGAGCTTTAATGTTGAATGCGCAGCAGAGGAATCCAACACAACTGTTGTGCTAGCGCAGGGGTCAGCAAACTTTTTCAGCAGGGGTCTGGTCCACTGTCCCTCAGACCTTGTGGGGGGCCAGACTATAAGCCATCCACCCCACCGACTCCCCCATCCCTTCTCCACAGCACCGGACGAGCCCCGGTGGCTGTGTCTTGCAAGCGACAGGGGCTGGCGGTGGCGGTGGCAGAGCTTGAGCACTGCTGCTGCTGGCACCAACAAAGCCCAGCCCCCTTCCTCCTCTAGGCAGGGCAGGGAGAAACCAGGAGGAGGGAGGGAGGAGGAGGAGGTGCTGTGGGAGGGAGAGGGAGGGAGAGGGAGGGAGAGGGAGGGAGAGGGAAAGAACGGGCACACTGGCGATCCACGCAGCGATTCCCAGACTGTCTGCGGACTGGATCTAGAAGGCAATTGGGCCTGATCTGGCCCACGGTCCATAGTTTGCCGACCCATGTGCTAGCGGAATCTCACTGGTGCTGTTGATTGTGCAACAAAGTTACCAACAACCTGCCTATGCATTCTCTTGCACATCAACCTTCTGCTTAGCACAAAACATTTCACCAGCAGAACAACTATACCGCTGAGTGGCTTTGAATATGTGTGATATTGGATACAACCCAATGATTGTGACTGAAGTCCACTGATTGTAATGGGTATACTGTGCATATGACATAGCTGGAGACAACCCAACGATTTCAACACATAAGCAATGCATCTCACTACAGTGGGGGAGACTGTGGCCAGGTGCACCTGCTCAATGTGATGTCCAGGTGCTCACTGCTGCTGGACAAGCTCCCTCCTGCTCTTTATCTTTAAACCGAATTTTGACTGGGCAGCCCTGGGAAGGACTTCTTCCAAGAGAGGAGTGTGCTTTGCCAAGAAGGGTGCATGCTAAAGAAATACAGGTAAAGGTAAAGGGACCCCTGACCGTTAAGTCCAGTCATGGCCGACTCTGGGGTTGCGGCGCTCATCTCGCTTTACTGGCCAAGGGAGCCGGCGTACAGCTTCCGGGTCATGTGGCCAGCATGACTAAGCCGCTTCTGGTGAACCAGAGCAGTGCACAGAAACACTGTTTACCTTCCTGTTTACCTATTTATCTACTTGCACTTTGGCGTGCTTTCGAACTGCTAGGTTGGCAGGAGCAGGGACTGAGCAACAGGATCTCACCCCGTCACGGGGATTCGAACCGCCGACCTTCTGATCAGCAAGTCCTAGGCTCTGTAGTTTAACCCACAGCGCCACCCTAGTAACATGTCAAACAGCTTCCAAAGGCTGCATTCCGAGGGCACTTTCCCACATCATTTCCTTAGCTGTTATTTTGTGTGATCTTTCACACAACATAAAAGACATTTCTGAAAACGTGGAAGTTTAGTGTGCATTTCTGGGTTAACTGTTCCCAGGAAAAAATCAATTTGCAACATTATTAACTCAGGAATTCATGCTGTAACATCATGTCACAAAATTGGAGGCAGTTTTCCAGTATAAAGTTCTTTTCCACAGCTTCAAATTTAGTGTGACTAGGTGGTCTATTGATCAAAATGCCATAACGCAACAGGTACTGCAGCGTCAAAGCAGTGTTAGAAAGCAGGAAGGAAGCACTGGCATTATAACCAGTAAAACTAACACAATAAAACCCACATCTAAATGAAGCCCAAGTTTTAACAAAGTACCCATTGAGGACAAAAAAATAGGGACTGCCCTATTTTTGTAAACAGGGATACGTTTCAGCTCTCCCTTCCAAACACTGGAATCTCAACAGCTTTGCAGCACAGATCACTTTGTGACACGACAGAATCAGCCAGGAATTGATGAGTTAGTTGACCTTATTTTAGCCTTCTGGTACTCCAAATTGCTTTAGAGTGCATTTTAATTATGGTGTGTTATTAATTATGGTATATTTTAATAACAGCATGCAATTGATTTTTCAAAATGTTTTGTAAACTGCTTAGATGCTTATTTTTGCATTAAGCAGCATATAAATTTATAAATGAAAGCAACAGCAATAACAACTCTGGACAATGGCAACGACTGAAAAGTTGATGCACCAAAGAAAATGACACTTGACATTGGTGATGATGATGATAGTAATAATAATAGCAACTTGCAGTTTAGCAGTGTAAAAATGAAACATAGCAGTGATACCCTGGCTGTTAATTAAGTTCATAGATCATCTGTGCTATTGTACTGTTCAAAATACAGTGGTACCTCGCAAGACGAATGCCTTGCAAGACAAAAAACTCGCTAGACGAAAGGGTTTTTTGTTTTTTGAGCTGCTTCGCAAGACGATTTTCGCTATGGGCTTGCTTCGCAAGACGGAAACGTCTTGCAAGTTTGTTTCCTTTTTCTTAACACCGTTAATACAGTTGTGACTTGACTTCGAGGAACAACTCATAGAACACGGTGTGGTAGCCTTTTTTGAGGTTTTTAAAGACTTTGGTGATTTTTGAAGCTTTTCCAAAACTTTCCCGACACCGTGCTTCGCAAGACGAAAAAAATCGCAAGACGACAAAACTCGCGGAACAAATTAATTTCGTCTTGCGAGGCACCACTGTAGGAAGATCCATTATGCTGAGTCAGACCGTTGGTCCATCAGCTTAATATTGCTGACACAAACTGTGATATATTTTCTTATATATATTTAGCAGGGTTTTAAAAAGCTTGGAAGCTGGAGCTACCCCACCCCCACCCATCGTCTGTCTCATTCTAGCACTAGCGTTTTATTTTGTTTTTTAAAGGTAAAACACGTCCGAGTCCCAAAGAAAAAAATGTTCCTTACTTACAGTTACTTCATATTCACAAGGCTGGCTTTGGGTTCTGATTCTACATCGTGGGAAGAGGTTTCATGGCTGATTCATGCAAGAGGGGAGAGGGAGAGCAGGAGGAACAGGCAGAACTTAGTGGGCAACCACAAAGTGTATTTTCCATGACTAACTGTCTGTCTTAGCCCTGCCCTCTACTAACCAGAAGCATGCAAGGTTGCTTATACCCAACAGATGCTGGAGAATGAACCTAGGCCCATCTGTTTACAAAGCAGATGTTCTACCACTGAGCTACAGCTCTTCCCCCAAAATATTCCTTCTAACATTCAAAATGTATGTGGACCTTAGAAGATGGAGCAGCTGCAACCATGGCATGGCAGTTTTCCTTCTCCAAGCCCCCTTGTAATATGCAGCCCATGTACTCTGAGACCAGCTTGCCCCTCATCTCTGAGCATCTCTTAATGGTCCCAGCATGTTCTCTTTCCACCTGCACTTTGCTGCTTTAACACAAGGCAATCGACATGTAAATCATAACCCTCCATCTGTTCCTAACTTGATCACATGTGGTGGGGGAATTATAATAAAACGGTGCTCCAGGGAGTTCAAGTGCCTGGCCCATGCTCTCTGGCGGAGAGTGGATCTTAATTGCATATCCAAATCCACTGTTTTCTTTGCCAAGGTCCTGTGGTTCAGGAGGGATCAATCCAGCTGTCAGAGTCCAGCAGCAGCTTTCTAATCCAGATTATCTAAGGCCTGGCTGTCTGCTCTTCTCCAGTTTGGAAGCACAATCAATGATGCAATGCTATTCCTTCCTTCCAGGCAGCAACATAAAAAAAAACCCACCCTCTGATGCAGAACAGATAAACAGAGCTTTTCACCCATCATTTTTAAATAATAAAGCAGGCAGACTAAGACTAAACAGTAAAGCAGACTGAATCTCTATACAGCAGAGCAAACCTGAATGTTGGCCTTGATTTTAACTTTAGTTTCAATATGTGATGGGTGGAGAAAATGTTTTTATTTTATTTTCCAGTGTGTTTAATCCATTATTCAAATACAAACTCACTCCAGTTGAGAGACGGGGAGAAGTTCAGGGCCTTCCTGAAACATTGAGCAAACCAAAATTGCATATACAAGATGTCTGTTAGAAGAAATGTGTGCTCAACTGCTCAAATTTTGCAGAGACTGGTTGGTTATTTAAGGGGTGAAGTGATCATCCATGTATCCTGATCCCAAGCTGTTTGGGCTTTAGACACCAGAACCAGCACCTTGAACTTACCCTGGTAGCTAATTGGCACCCAATGCAATTAGGTGCAAATATATGAGTTTTGAGATCCTGTTTAACTGTTAAGGCAACAACTGCTGTCAACAGATCTCTTCTTCTCTATGACTTTGTCTAAGCTGCTTTTCAGCCATCTAAGCTAATGACTATCACTGCATCTTGTGGCAGAGAATTCCATAAATTAATTACTTCTGGGGAAAGCATGGAAGTCATGCTTTCAAATATCAGAGGTATCAGGGTAGGATGTGAATCCTAGGTTCAAGTGTGGGTTGGTTTTCTAAAGAAAGAAAGAAAGAAAGAAAGAAAGAAAGAAAGAAAGAAAATGTCTCTGTTAGTGGTCCCCCATGGCTCAACACAGGCCTTATAAGTACAGTGATACCTCAGGTTACAGACGCTTCAGGTTACAGACGCTTCAGGTTACAGACTCCGCTAACCCAGAAATAGTACCTCAGGTTAACTTTGCTTCAGGATGAGAACAAAAATTGTGTGGCGGTGGCGCAGCAGCGGCGGGAGGCCCCATTAGCTAAAGTGGTGCCTCAGGTTAAAGAACAGACCTCCAGAACGAATTAAGTTCTTAACCCGAGGTACCACTGTACTAGAAGATGTGCATTCAATGTCGTGGGTCCAAGACTCCATAACTCCCTCCCAAATGAGAATAGATACATGACCTTCAAGGTACATGACTTAATACTTTCTAGTTCCAGCAGACATGTCAAGATAGGTACTCCTCTATGTGAAGGAATAGAGAGAATCAAGAGTCATGATTAAATCACAAGACATATTCCAGCCAGGCAAAAAGGACAGTGAGTGGGATGTCTAGCAAGAGGTTGTGGCCCAGGGAGAATATCAAGGACCAGACAGAGAGGTTTGCAGGGCCACATGTGGCCCCTTGGGCTTGAGGTTCCCCACCTCATTGTAGGTCAAATGGCATAGGGCGCATCCCATTCTTGAGAAGAAGAAACCATGCAAAAAGTAAATACCTTTGTGGGTTTTATGAATTGCTTATCAAGAGTGAATGCATTGCATGCATGGAGAATTAGAGGCAAACATCTCCGTCTCCCCTGCCATAAAACACACCCAGGAGATGCTCAGCAGCACGTTTGCAACTGTGTCAACACCGAATTCTTCATTGCTCTGCACGTGAAGATAAGTGCCAGACTCAGGCATCATGTACTCTTTGCTGTACAATAGAGAATACTTTGAGAAGTACTCCCTGGGGCACTTCAGTCATCACCGTGCAATGAAGCACAATGAGACATGTGAAAAGCCTTGGCAGTTGTTTTATGTCTGATTGGTGCTTTCATGAATAGTGGCATCAGTAATTCTTCCTTTATGTTGATGGCTGAGAAAACTCCAGCGACTCTTAATATGCTCAAGAGGTTAACCCTTAATCTGCTCAGACATCTGGCAGTCTGCTCCAAGTCCCTGAAGAAATTAGGATAGAAGCTGGGCTGAATCCCCCTCCCCACAGATTTCTGCAAGGCTCTCTCCCACAGGAACCTCCATCTGCTAAAAGATGGGTTTTGCCTCTGCTTGTGAGTTTGCCCTCTTGGTATTTTTAAGTGGGGCAAATCTTTGCAAATCCCCAGGAGGGGGAATTCTGAGAAGGGATGGGGAAAGGGGGGGGGAGATAAAAAGGAAAATAAAGGGAGAAAGATGCAGAAAAGGAGAGTGGGGAGGGAAGGAATGTGGCTAATACACATAAGACACAAAGGTCCCACCATCCGAACACAATACATTCTCAGGAAATGGTTTGTTAGGAAAGTGTTCACATAATAAGCTGGCGATTTCCATTTGTTCCTATGGGGAAATTTCTAATATGTTCCCAACCCAGTGGAATTTTGACCACAAAATGGTGAAAAGATGGTGGAAAACCCAGGAAAACCATCTGAAACCTTGCAAAAGGCAAACTAGGAGGGGGGGAAGACATATTATTTCTGACCTCTCCCCGTCTTCCATTCCTCTCTCCCACCATGGTTTCTGGTGAAACGGCTGCCACAGACCATCAAAGCACTAAAAAGTAAAGCTTATTTGTGGCTGCTTATTTGTTTACAGTACTACACACAGGGCTGGCTGTTCGGATCTCTGACTCTGTGGTTTGTATTGCAAGGTTTGGGGTACTAATGTTTGGATAAGTGAATTTTCGTATAATGAGCATTTGGATAGCGGGACCTGTGTGAACAAGAACTCAGGGATATTCAATGAAACTAAAGGTTGGGAGATTCAAGATTCAGACCAGTGAAAGTATTTATTCACACAATGCATAGTTTTGCTATGGGATTTGCCCCCACAAGAAGCAGTGATGGCCGCCAACTTGGATGGCTTTAATTAGACAAATTCATGGAGGAGAAAGCTATCCATTGCTACTTGCCATGATGACCATGCTCTGTCTCCATGGTCTAAGACAGTTCCTGGAAACCACAGGAGAGGAGAGTGCTCCTGTGCTCAGGTTCTGCTTGTGGACATCCCACAGGTATCAGGAGCAAGCTTGTTTTCTTCTGCTCCAGAGGGTAGGACCTGAACCCCCAGTTTCAGATTACAACAAAGGAGATTCTGACTTTCTGTCAGTTAGAGCTGCTCCACAGTGGAATGGGCTGCATTGGAAGATGGTGGACTCTCCATCATTGAGGGTTTTAAACAGAGGTTGGAGTGCCAACTGTCAGGAATCCTTCAGTTGTGATTCCTGCATTGCAAGGGGTTGGACCCTTGGGATCCCATCCAACTCTTTGTTGTTGTTGTTTTGTCGTTCAGTCGTGTCCAACTCTTTGTGACCCCCTGGACCAGAGCATGCCAGGCACGCCTGTCTTCTACTGCCTCCCACAGTTTAGTCAAATTCATGTTAGCAGCTTCGAGAACACTGTCCAACCATCTCGTCCTCTGTCATCCCCTTCTCCTTTTGCCCTCAATCTTTCCCAACATCAGGGTCTTTTCCAGGGAGTCTTCTCTTCTCATGAGGTGGCCAAAGTATTGGAGCCTCAGCTTCACGATCTGTCCTTCCAGTGAGCACTCAGGGCTGATTTCCTTCAGAAGGGATAGGTTTGATCTTCTTGCAGTCCATGGGACTCTCAAGAGTCTCCTCTAGCACCATAATTCAAAAGCATCAATTCTTTGGCGATCAGCCTTCTTTATGGTCCAATTCTCACTTCCATACATCACTACTGATAAAACCATAACTTTAACTATATGTACCTTTGTCGGCAAGGTGATGTCTCTGCTTTTTATGATGCTGTCTAGGTTTGTCATCACTTTTTTCCCAAGAAGCAGGCGTCTTTTAATTTCGTGACTGCTGTCACCATCTGCAGTGATCATGGAGCCCAAGAAAGTAAAATCTCTCACTGCCTCCATTTCTTCCCCTTCTATTTGCCAGGAGGTGATGGGACCAGTGGCCATGATCTTAGGTTTTTTGATGTTGAGCTTCAGACCATATTTTGCGCTTTCCTCTTTCACCCTCTGCAAATTTATTATTCTCCAAGGCTCTTCCTAACAGGCTCTGTTGCAGACCTTTCGTCCATGAGTGTGTGTGTGTGTTTTAAATCCAGCCCAGAACGTTTTGAAATTATTACAGTCCACTTGCTCTGTAATTATAAAAACCTGAAATTACTTTGAAGCTTCAGCTATGCAAGAGGAATGCTGCAATTACTCCACCAAGCCATTTGCAACCTAATTATCTGCGGGTGTCATATGCTTATATTTGCGCATAAATGGGAGCCATTTAAGGGCGAGCCATGACCAAAAGTATACCTCCAGGCTCCTCCGTTAATATGCTTGGCCTCTTGAAACGATCTCCAATAAACTAAGAAAACAATAATCATACGTTACACACTGCTTTAATGGTTGGCTCTGCGGCAGGGGTGCTTCCAGTTGAAGGAAACCCAAAGAGGGGGAGGAAAGGAGGTTAGTGAGTTATAGCTCAGCAACACTGAAGTTATTAGCACTTGCATTCTGGTTCAAAGAGAGAGTAATATTCTGGCAAGTAGAACAGGCTCAGTGCTCTTGTATCTCCTGAGAGTTAACCT